CTTGAGACCGCTGAATTCTGCGCCATAAGCAGCTTGCCTCTAGCGCATTTACTACAGACAGATTTTTGCCGGGAAAATGCGATGTCCTACATTTTACTTCGATATTAATAGAAAAAAGAGGGCACAAATAGTAGAGTCATATTTACTGGTGGTCTCATCTCCCCCCTAGCAGAGGCGTACAAGCACAAAAGTGGAAAATCGAGCAAAATACAGTCGAAATACGGAAATCGAAGTAAGCGTGCGATTTTCTCATGGGCACTAAATGTGCGTAGCGTGCATGAAAATTTGCCCCTCTTTTTCCTGAGTAAAGCTCGAAATTCAATGAATTTGAAAGATTCTAGTTAGACCTATGAGTTTAAGCGCACTCGTGGAATAAGCTCGCGAAAATTTCAGTTTTTTGATGGCACAGTCGTCGAGTTGAAGATTGGTCATTTGTACAAGAACAGCAAGACAGAGACAGAGAGAGAGGGAAGCAGAAAGGAAGACGCATAAACATGCATGTACACATATATGTATAAAGGAGGGCAAGTTAGTTAATGAGTAGGAAAGTAGATAGTATAGAAACATTTAGAATTTGGTGGAATTGTTAGAAGTTAGTAAGACGGAGGAAGTAGGTCGAAATATCAGGAATTAGTGAGAGGAGGGAAATGGCATAATTATAGGTTACATACATATACACACATATACATATGTAGCTATACATAACTTTCTCCAGCTTTTTCTGAACAACAGAAAACAAAATGAACTGAGGCCGTGAACTGAATTGGGAAAATGAAGAAAGCTTTACCAGAGAGAGGGCGTTTGAGGGTTTCCTTTAAGTCGTGGCTGCTCGGTTCTTTGTTGAAGAGCCCTTTGATGGAGGAGCTTGGTGTATCTTTGAAAATACTTCCGATACGACTCCTCCTGGTGCTGCTGCTCTCGCGCTCCTTTACACGTACATTCAACGCCACATCCGCATCTGCAGTACAGGAAGAATGCAAGAAAAAAGCTAACAAACTACGTCCAATGCTTTGTGAGGGTGTGCTTTTGCAGCTCAACATAGCTATTTCCCTTTCAAAACACAGGTAATTTGTTACAATTCGGCCTTTTTTGGCATTACTCGTCTTATCCTGAACCGGATAAGACGAGTAATGCCAAAAAAAAGCCGAATTGTAACAAATTCAGCACCACTTTCTGTACTGGATCATAAAAAATAGCATATGCACACAAATGCAGCTGATGCACCGTTCGAAATTAAAATCACAGCGAGAAGTTTGGAGACTGCTGCGGGACCTTCGTTTCTCGCCCGAGGGGCGGGGG